TGTCTATACTTGTAATGTCTTAACAGAGGTTATACATAAACAGACCCATTTACGTAGGATTCGCAATACTTGATTTGTCAAAAACGCTGATGTATGACTTTCATTAAAAATACGTGAAGAACAAAAACGGATCTAGGGCAACCCTCTTGTTAACGGACACAGACTCATTATGCTACATCAGCAACACTGATAATACATACTAAGATATGATGGAGGACAGGTACTTGTACAGTTTGATACATCAGAATATGACCCAAATCATCGCATCATAGCACATTAAATAAGAAGGTGTTAGGAAAAATGAAGGATGAAACACATGGTATTCCTATACAGGAGTTCGTCTGTCTTAAGTGTAAGATGTACTCATTGATAAACGAAGAGAATGGAAATATCAGTGAAAAGAAAACAGCTAAGGGTATAAAGAAGAGTGCAGCTAAGGGTATAAAGAAGAGTGTTATCAAACATGACACTGGACACGTACATTGAAATAATTCCTCCTTACTAAAGATATGCATATGTCCACTATTTTTCAGATCCGTTTATACGACTGATACGGTGCTATCGGTCCGCAATTTGCTTTTTGTCCGCTTTTGTTTTTTGTCCGATAATTTTGCTTTTTGTCCGACACTTTTAATTGCTTTTTGTATGTTGCTTTCGGTCCGTTTTGCTTTTGGTCCGATAATTTTGCTTTTGGTTCGACACTTTTGCTTTTTGTCCGTTGCTTTCGGTCCGTTTTGATTTTGGTCCGATAATTTACGACGATCAGTTATTAAAAAAAATATATATATCAATAAACTGGACCTATCCCTAATTTGATGACAAAAGATAGTTACGTGATGATTGGATACGTAGTCTCGCGTACGGACATTGGAGAATACATATAATATGTTAGTCTGTGTTTTTATCACCCCACGTCTGTCACTTGAAGGAAGAAAACGTGTTTGTGTGACCTCTCCAAGATGTCTAATATTTGTCCAAAGTGTAATGTGGAATTTACAGGAAAGGATGCAATGTTGAGACATTACAGGAATAAACACAAAATCTATCAACCATTTCCACCAAACAGTCATGCGTATTCACTGAGCTATGATGGATATCTACCGATTAATAATTTCGTATACATCACACCACCACCACCGACACCACAGAAAGTGGTACTACACCATCCGTTCACTATGATGTTGCCTGGACCTGGTTAAAGTAAAAATTTTGGATGAAAACATTATTGGAGCGAGCACGGACTATGATAAACACATCACTTGAAAGGATTGTTTGGTGCTATAAAAGGTGGCAACCAATATTTAGTGAAATGATGAAAACCATTAAAAAACATTTTGTTTGTTCAAGGTTCACTTGAAAATTTGAATGATGACTCTTTCATAGGCTCTAGATATTAATATCGTAGCATCCTAGACGATTTAATGAGAGAGGCCATCAGCACTCGATAGTTAGTATGTTTATGAACTCTTTGTGGAGGGCAGCCATCACAAAACCTTAAAGTATTTTGTATAATACAAAATGCGTTCTCGAAGAGAAAGGAGATTCGAACCATGACCATCAATATACATCATATAGTCTTATTAAAAAATCCACTTTTTGCTAAACAGATGTATCCTTATAATCCAAAGAAATTTATGAATAAATATGTAGAGGGGACAAAGCGACCATATGGAAATACTTTCTCTATTCTGAAACAGAAAACATTGGAAGACGATGTATTCGAAAACAATAACGTGATTGGTGGAGATGACACTGAAAAGTATATATGCAGATAAGAACCAGAACCATCTCAGTTCGAAGAAACATTTCAAAGTGAACTGACGTACTATAGAGATGATAGATGATGGACTGGACTATAAGAAGGCCATTAAAATTGTTATTAGAAAAAATAAGCTCCTAATGGAAAATTACATTGATGAAGTTGCACTGACGAGAAGATTAAAAGTGAAGAATAAATAAAAAGAACTTTATCATCTGTAGATATTTCATTTAAAAGCTCCTTACTGTGCAGATGGCTCCGTAACAGTATCTGAAGACAATATATTACGATCCGTCTCATCCCGCTAACTTTGTGGTCCTGATAAGTTGCACTGATTTGTAAAAAAAAGGATTGGAAATTCGTTCTTAGTTAATACAAGATTCGTAAATGGCTTGAGCGACAAGAACCATACAGTCTGCAAAAACCTGTAAAAGGATCATTTTAGCGTAATGGAATAGACGACCGATTGGATGCTGATCTGAAAGATATGTCCAATTTTGCCAAATACAACAATGGTTATAACTTCATTTTAGTGGTCACTGATATATTCACCAAGTATATATGATCATCTATGGCTAAGACCTTTGAAAAATTAGAAAGGTGAATCTATTTTTTACTGCACTGAGAGATCATAAGGAAGATCACAAAACATGCAGAATAAAAACGGACAAAGATCAAGAACTCATAGCCAAGTCTGTTGCTACAATGCTAAAACAGAAAAAAAAACATTTAACATTTGTTTGCACAGAATACGGCAGTCAATGTCATCTGCGCGGAGAGGGTAACACCATCATATCAAATATATACAGATACTTTACAGACAAACAATCGTATGATTACATAGACAATCTATAGAAATTTGCTGGTAGTTCCAACCAAACCTTCCATATAACAATTGGTATGGCGCCGGTAAAGTCACCCAATCTAAAGAGACAAATCAGTGATGGAAAATCTATTGGCCAAAAAAATAGTTAAACCTTAAACAAAGATTGACGAAAACCTTTACGTTTCAACACCGGTGATAAAGTTCAAATAACATACATCAGAAACCCATCTACCAGGGAATACGACGAAAGGTGAATCTGGGTCCTCAATGCTCTTCAACTTCGTATTTGGCCTTTTTAACTTTTTTGATTCAAGCGTCACTGATTAGTCTTTTAAAGACGTAAAGCGCGTCTGACGTACAAAGTTTTAATCCTGGTATCCATGATGAGTTTATCTAAAACTTGGTTTAATTTGCCATACATACAACGAGAAACAAAAAACTTAAAAATCAATGCACCTTCTCAATGATTACGTCATGGGCAGCACAATGCCTCTATAGAACACGATCGTATTCAAATGCTAAAATAAGTATTTAAAAAAATAAATTAAAAACATGCATCCTGTTACGTAATGACCAATAGCACATTATTAAATATACTCCTACATAATCAAAATAAAAAGTGCTTTTCTAATGAACCATTTCAAATAACCGTAATTACTTTCCATGATAAGATTTTATCATCTGAGTTATCTCCCCCTTACAAAAGAAAGTTTTAAAAAGTTTAATCATTAAAAAAATGTGTATTGAAAAAATAGTTATAAGATTAAATTACACAAATTTCATTATTCAGATAAAAGTATCACAATTCTTGCATAAATTGATTACAGTTTGCTTATTTCATTAAATATCTGGAAAGATTTGCTGCTATTACCAAAGACAGTGAAATGCTCCCACACTGTCTAAATGTTTTAGCCCTATAGGTATTATGGTAGATCTTTTAAAGTCTTTATTAATCTATTAACCACTGGTCTAGACTTCTGATAATTTAGCGCTTGAAAAATTGTAGAAATGTGTCTATTGTTAAAGTCTAATCTACCTTTAGGTGTCTCCTGGTCAAAGATTAAAGAACGTATATTGACTTTTAAATGTCTTTCTTAGTGTCATTGAGTTCGTGTCTCCTTGTAAATGACTGTTTATGACCTCTATATGTCTTTCTTTGTGTCATTGGGTTAGTGTCTCCTTGTTAAAAACTGTTTATTGACCATTAAATGTCGTTCTATATGTCATGGGGTTGATGTTTCAATATTAGACCATAAATAGACTCTAAATGTCTTTCTTTTTATGTCATTGAGGTGATGTCTCCTGTTTAAAGACTATATACTGACTTCTAGATGTCTTCTTTGACATGTGTCATTGGGATAAAGTCTCATCATTAGACCATATATTGACCTCTAGATGTCTTTCTTGACATGTGTCATTGGGATAATGTCTCATCATTAGACCATATATTGACCTCTAGTTGTCTTTCTTTATGTCATTGAGTTGATTTCTCATTGTTGGACCATATATTGACCTGTAGATGTCTTTCCATGTGTCATTTGTCAATGGGTCATCCATAAACCATATATTGACCTGTTGATGTCGTTCTTTATGTATTTAGGTTGATGTCTCATTGTTACATGGTGTATTGACATTAAATTGTCTTTATTTCATTGGAATGATCTAGATGACTTTCTTTGTGTCATTTGGGTTGATGTATTTGTGTTTAAGACCGTATATTGACATCTAGATGACTTTCTGTGTGTCATTTGGGTTGATGTATTTGTGTTCAAGACCGTATATTGACATCTAGATGACTTTCGTTGTGTCATTGGGTTGGTGTGTGTGTTTAAGATCGTATATTGACATCTAAGATGACTTTCTTTGTGTCATTGGGTTGATGTATTTGTGTTTAAGACAGCATATTGACATCTAGATGACTTACTGTGTGTCATTGGGTTGATGTATTTGTGTTTAAGACCGTATATTTACATCTAGATGACTTTCTTTGTGTCATTGGGTTGATGTATTTGTGTTTAAGACCGTATATTGACATCTAAATGACTTTCTTTGTGTCATTGGGGTTGATGTATTTGTGTTTAAGACCGTATATTGACATCTAGATGACTTTCTTAATGTCATTTGTTTGATTTCTGATTGACAGAAACCAACATCTTTTCATTTTTTTTTATCAATATCTAAAAATAGTGACAGGTAGGTAAATTGGTGATATCACCGATATTTATGCAATTTTGCAAGGTATGTGGAACTGCAAACGAATATTGAAAAAAACCATATAAGTTACTTTGTGACTTTCTGAGATAAAGTACATGTAATATTCTGTAGAAAAAGGTGAAAATGTATAGGATTGAAAGAAAGGGATAAATTATTTGGGAGATACACCGTAATGACCCCAAATAAAGAAAACAAAATTAATATTTTTATCACTTGTTTATTATCAATTTCTTCAATATTTATGTTCATTCAAAAAAATCTTAAAAAATAATATTAAAGCAAAATAATCAACCTACAACAGAGTACACATAACAAATAAATGCAGAAAATATAAACAAAATGTAATGTTAAAATATGGCAAGCTATGTGTGGTTAGAGTAGATAAACACTGAGGTCTTATTTGCTTTTTTAAAAGCAGAGATACATGTACAATATAAAAATAGTCTAATGAACTAGGTGTGTATACATACATGTGTTAAGATTTAAAAATAAAAGTTATGGTCCAAACTTGCTGTTTTTGCAAAGTTCCAGGAGACTCCAAAGGAGATACCTTATTCCAGCTGTTTTGTAAAGTTCCTGGAGATTACAAGGGAGATAACTCATTCCAGTTGTTTTGCAAAGTTCCAGAAAATTCAATGGAGTTAACTTTCAGGAAAATTTTGAAGGTTTTTGGAAAATCTGACATGTTCTATATTTTCTACCAGTATTAAACAAGAGGTTCATAGCACCTTTATTTTCACTAATATCACGATTTATATTAAATCTTTAAATTGTTCCCTCCTGTATATTTGATCTTCAAATAAGATCAAAATCAGGAGGAAAAAAATCGAAAATAAAACCTTGCAAACTGATTTGGCCGTAGAAATTGAGAAATTTATACTCCACAAAAATAAACCGCTATACAGTATTATATACATTCCAATTGTGCTTATATCAGAGCTTGTCTTTGTAATAGTCTATTACAGATACCAACTATAGCTGATAATGTGGAATCTTTTACAGTTACCAACTATTACTTTAAGTTTCTCATTCAAACTGCGTTGCTAGCTCACAAACAACAAGGTTGGACCAAGTACCAGTCACAGAAATATAAATATTGCATAGCTTTTTTTCCCAGTAAAATACATTCTTAAAATATTTTTCTAAAAATATAAAAGAATCTACCAACCTTTAACAAATCTGTAAAATTCTACAATATTGAAATAAGATGGTAGATTTTACATGAACTTATTTTATAAATAGATATGTAAAAATACAGAGAGACACAAGATAGGATAAGCTTAATAAAACATTCCTTGGAATCTATATCAGGTTAACCATTATGATATATGAAAGACAGAAAACTATACTTGGTGAGTTTATGGTCACCTGACCTATATAAACAAATCTACACGAATATATATATATGCTTTAAATATACAACTCTTTAAGTACATTGCTTTATACACAGAAAAATGTCACAATAATAATTGCAAATAAATATTTGGATTTCATAATCACATAAATATTTCTGGATAATCAATCCTATGCGGTTTCTTGAAAATCCTATGTCGTTTCTCGATAAACCTATGCAGTTTCTCAATAATCTTATGTCGTTTTGACCTTTAAATTTTCAATTTTCATCATGAAAATATTGTTGTTTTTGTGGAAGCAAATCAAGTTTAAACAAAAAACAGATGGCATCTTCACCTAATGAAGTGCTGTTGGCAGTAAAGTTTATACATTTGTTCACTACGAAATCAGTACAGAACAATTTGGTTTGATTGATTGATTGATTGTTGATGTTTAATGCAACTTTCAGCACTCTTGGCTATAATATGGTGGCCAGTTTTTATTGGTGGACAAAGCAGCAGTGCCTGGAGAGAACAACAGAGAAGGTGAGAGCTGCATTTTAAATGTATATAAAAAACTGACCCAAAGGCGTTTTAAATCTGAAAGATAAGTCCTATAGAAATCTTTTTTTGGACAAAAATGCTAGCAGAATAAAACTAGAATTAAAAGTATAATAAAACGACGAAAAATAAAAATATTGCAAAAGACCCTGAGGTTCTACACTATAAATATATATTGCAAAATAGAGAGATATATATCTTAATGATATATTGCATAGCTTGATATGCATGGGTATGTGCAGATTTGTAAGATCAATCCCAGAAAACAGTCTGCATGAATGATTTTGAAAAAAATATATTTTGGACACATCCACCAAGAAATCTATAGATTAATATGTACTAAGTAAAAGTTTGCTTCCGATACATATTAACTGTAATATCTTTATATGGTGATAATTTTCTATAGTGAAAACTATTATTACACAGAATATTCTTTAAAAATCTTGAAAATAATTTGCTTTTGAAGGAGCCTGCTTATATACAAATTGGTTTATTTTTTTTAATAATATCTAACTTGATTAATACTATTTCCCTAAAATTATCTTTAAAATGCATTGACTAGTGGATAATATTAAACCATAATCATACAATATATTGAAACAACCCAATCTGCATAGTAAGTATAGAGATCATAATTACTGAACAAATCATATATTACATTACATCAATCTGTCATTTCACATACACAAATTTGTATGCACCATATTTATGTTCTTTTTCTTAAATAATAAAGTAAATAGTATATATTTACACAAATAACCATATCTTTTTTCCTCCTTTCTTATACCAAAGCATGCAAAGCAAATAGTATATATGTTACTGTTGTTATAAAAAAAATTATAACAAAAATACTGAACTCCAAGGCAAATTCAAAAAGTGAAAGTCCATAAAAACGGATAAAACCGTTATATATTTGAACCCACAAGAAAATTCCACTTTTTCTACATTGTGCAAAATGCATAGAATCCAGTGCGGTCATCTAAATTCAACTACATGCTTGGGTGTCAATGTTTACAAATTCTGCATTTTTGTCTATTTCAATTATACAACCTGTATATGAGCATAGATTTGGCACATAATTGAGATAAAAATAAAACACTGAGCCAAAAGAAATGGCCTTTACAATCTTAACCTTCCTTCTCAGTTAAAAAGGTATTAATAATGAGAACTGCTTTCAAAACAATTCTGTAAATTTTGGTTATTGTTTATCTCATAAAAACTACCACAAATATGTCTTGTCTAGAAATATTCAAGGTAATTACAGACAAGTAATGAAAGTGATTAAAACATGGCAGTAATTCTGTATATTTTTTAGTTCTAAAAAATACTAAGAAATAACATAATTTTCATAAAAATACTGAACCAATTGAGTTTGGTTCCATTATCTGATATCAATACCTGCCAACTTAAAAGATTTCGGCATGAACTAAATGATTTTGACCCCTGTCCCACTTGCATGATCATAATCATGTGAAAATCTACATAAAAAATTTGTTGGTTCCCATTCGACTTTTCCCAAGGGATATGTATTTTATATATGTTCACTTAAAACAGAAAAATAATCATATAAATCTTTAACAAAAAGTACATATTAAATCACAGACTATAATCTGATAAATAAAAATTGTTCCGAATGGGAAACCTCGGACTTCTTCCTACAATAATATCAGTCTTTTGAATAAAAATTATTGCCTTCTAAATATCAATGTAACACAGAGAATGAATGAACCCTTTCATGAAAACAGAAAAACATAGAGATTGCAAAATGTTATATTCTCATAAACAATCAAAGATGTTGAGCATTTAACTGTGTCCACATTTTGCCATCCATAGAGTAATCATGACAGGGTTGAATTCCTGAATCAAAATTGCAGTTTATTTATTGCTCTTTGTTTCCTGTGCCGTTTCTAGGATGATCGTTGAGTTTTCGGTAGAAGCTCTGTACATATGTAAAAACACATTTCCAATCTGGTTTCTGCATTTTAACCATATCATCAACATCTAATAATGGAGCAATGTCTGCATATTTTCTGCAAAAAAAACAAAACAAATAGGTTATATACACAACATGAACTTTTTCATTTTGCACACTGTGTTTGAATTTTTCAAAATATCTATTCTGATTTTACAACTTGTCAAAAATTACTGCAGAATATATATCGTTTACTGCTTCTGCAGATGTTCATCATTTGAGTCCCAAAAATTGGAATCTTCATTTAAAGACTTATCTCCTGAGAAAGAGATCAAATCTTCTTTATTTCAGCAACTTTTATCATTATTTGATTGTAAGTAGTTGAAGAGTGTTGAGGAATGGGGGCAGAGGGTACTTACCTATAATGTTAAAAATATATGAATTTCACAGCTGTTTTGTGTAATGTTGTTTGTCTTTTAGTCTATTTCTTTGTTTGCCATGGTGTTGTCAGGTTTTTTTTTACTTATGAGTTTGAATGTTCCTTTGGTATCTTTCGCCTCTCTATTGTAATACATGTACTATAACATTGAAGTAAGCAAGTTTGATTATCTCCCCTTTAACAAGTAGGACTGAGATTATGTTCCTTTATGTACATCCTCAGTTAGTGTTCTTTAATTGTGTAGGGTTTCATCAATATCAAGGCAGCTCATTAGGAGGAGTTGTGCACTTACAATGCACATGGACAGACGAAACGCTTATGTCCTATTTTATTAGACATTAAGGTCTGCAGGAAATAATTTACTGGAATCTTGTCTAATTACTTACTCTGCTATATTAAATGCTAATGTAAAGTTTGCTCGTCTCTTTTTGGGGTCCAGTCTAGCGAACTCAAAGGATTCTGGGTAAAAATGGTGGATCAGCGCACAGAAAGCCATGCCGTTGTTCCATGACGAGGAGAAATTTGTGACCTCCACATTCTGTAAAAGTTAGAAAGTATTCAAGTTTTAAACAATATGAATAGAAAAATTCAATGTAGCACATTTTCAAATTTAATTAATTTCTTTTGAGTGCTTAGCATAATCAATGAAAGATAGTTTCTTTTAACACAGATATATGAAGAAAATTATATCACTGATATGTTTCTAAAACAACTTAAATGTAAATACAGAGCATTTATTTAAGAAATGTAAATTTAAGAATTTTTTTTATTAAATTCTGTGGCACTAAAATGGTTTTAATTGTTTTATCTAAAATCCTTTTAAGAAGATATGCATATTCTTGAAAGATTTTTAAATAAGGTATGATCAAAAGTTGCAATTTTTTTCATATTTGTAAAATATGCATTGATGAAAATAATTTTTATTGAATATGTTGTAATTTGTGCCTTTTGTCTATTTAAAAACATCAGTTAACCTTATCTTTTAGCCTCACTGCCATTTCTGTAACAAACACATTACTGTAGTAAAAATGAGATAACAAGATGTAATAAGTGATCTAGGTTTTCACTGTTTAATACTGAAATTATTTGTTTTCAATATCATTTTTAAACCATTGTATTCATGAATAATTGTATTTCTACAATTTGTTAAATAGAAATAATTCATTCAGAATACAACTTCAAATAAAACTTATTATATCACATGGAAACGATGATGTCAACAATAACAGACTGTAGCAATTTGATAAATGCAGATCCTGTGTCTTTTAGTGGGTTTATATCTCAGCAGAGCTCTTGTTAGAAAGTCATTGTGTACATATGAAGACTTTAAATAAATTTAACTTACTTACGCACAGCTAACAAGGATCTGATGATGCTCTGTTCTACTTTCTGTTCTAAAGACCTATCAGGGTTTACCTGGTTTTGTGGTAATGATACACACATTCAAAATTTTGTAAGTAGGAATTTCATTGGCTATTGTTATAATTGCCAGAACAGAAGGTAGAACATAGTGAGTATTGTCAGGTCCTTGTAAGCAAAGCGTGAACCCAGGATCTGAATTCTAATCAGATTGTGAAGTTAGCAATTATGCAGTGAATAAAAAGACAAATCAGTAGGCATGTGGTAACTAGCATTGTTTTCTAATTGGCTAAACGGAGTTTTATTTCATTTGAATAATTACTATATGCCTCATCCAAACCTAGAGATAATTTTGCTAAAAAATAATATGCCGAAACGGCTGTACCCTAAGCCACTTTATATATTTAATAAAGAAGTTTTTATAAACAAATCGACCAGATTACAAACAGCGATAGATCCACTAAAAAGGGGATATTGATCATCTCTGCAAACTTTACTAAAACATTGTGTTACCCATTTGATGATATACATAATTAGAATATTTAACAATAGAATAACATATTTTTACAGGGCTTATCAAGACTTGTTTACTTGTATAAAAGATTAAAATATTATTACTAATTCAAAAGTTTAATAAAATGAATTAGATAGTCTATTTGAAAATTATCATAATAACTGAATATCTTTGTGCATTTGAAATATAGTTTAAGTAATATCTATCCTGGTATACCTCCCCTCCTAATAAACCCCAGATATGTGCTGTTAACTGGCAACCAATGATATTGTTTTCTACAACAGCAGAATCACATGACAAGGATCCAGATATATTTCTATGGTGTGAGATACCATGTAACTGGATCCCTGCTATGAAATTCTTTTGCTGATACTATCCACTGGATGTCATTTAACAGGGTAACATGGTGCTAAGTTACTCTAAATAAATCTTCTAGATGTGAAATAAAACTTAAAATGTTGCAAAGTACTGTAAATTACATAAAATTAATCTGATAAATGAAAAAAAAAACTGTAATACTGGCAGTAGGTTCTACAAATAAAACAATAACAGGGGATCACCAATTACATGTGAAACACATCACCATGCAGAGTATAAAAGTTATAAGAGATAGACAGAAAAAAGTAAACTAAGAAAAACGTTCACTCCAGTCTGATAAATTATAGAGTACAACTGCATTTCAAAGTTTACAAAATGCATATCTGATACATTTTTTATAGGTTTCAGCCTGAAATCCAATTATTGTTTTTATGTTGTAGATAGAAAACAACTTTTTGGTAAATTTCATTTTTACTAAAAAATCTTTGGATTAAAATTGATTGTATTTACAATTATTTTTTCTCATACTATTTTTTAATAAAAAGAGCTTCAATTTTCTGAGATGACAAAATTCCTGATACAAGTGCACTCTACTTATGAGAATCTGGTTGTTTCTCTATACACTTTTTTTATTTTGCCCATTGTTGTCTATTTTTTATATTTCTGCATCCCATTATTATCTATTCCTTAATTTTGCGGTCCATTTTTTTCTTCACTTTATTTTTTTGGCACATTATTCTCTATTCTGTAAACCCCATCTAGACCCTCATTTATGAGATAACAATTTGTGAGAGAAAAGGGTTTTTGTTATATTTTTCACATGAAAGAACACATTTTTGTCATTATTGGAATAGTTTGAATATATTTTACATAACTTTACTTTGAAATGCAACAATATCTCAATAACAGAACAAAAATTCACATCATGCAAAAGTGAGGTATTAGTGAAGAAAAAGGTTCATTCCAAAGTTAGTGCCATTTTCTGGTTTCAATTAGCAGTTAAAACCACTCCCGCTTGGGAGAAGCCATGCAACCATAGATTTGCCACATCCAATTCACATGCCACCAGATTATACCTCATAACCAGCCGTCATGGCTTTAGTCCAATTCAGGAGCATTTCTTTTATTGCACTTGGACTACGTCTAACTGCTGTCCCCCCACCTCTGCCTCCTCCTCTACCACCGGCCATAAAACTTAGAAAATATCAAACCATGTGAAAAACAGCAAACATAAAAGTTTGTGTGATTTAGACTTAAAGCTGGAGCGGAATTGCATGCAATGCTGAAATAAATCAGAATCTGAAAGAAAACCCTCTGTCCATTATAAAATGAAGCAATGGATGATGGGAAATGATAGTGGGTGACCATGACAACAAACACAAGACAAGCAAGGGAGACAATCACAAAACAAAGGAAAAATACCAAGGTAGGATCATCAAATACATCTCATGTTGACTCAGGATTACTTTTTACCAAAAAACTAATTTACTTTTTTTTCCATATCTTTCTACATTGTTTTTCCAAATTCTGTAAATTTTAAACATTATATCTTCAAAAAAAAATTAATTTGTTATGTTCTATGAAACAAAGAATAGTTTCAAATGGCTAGAAATTCAATTTTCTCTTTAAGTTCCCAAAGGCAAAGTTTTTCAATTCTACTGATAACTTTCATTATATGTTTATCTTGAAAAAAAATTTAAAAAAAAGTTAGATTAAATGATTTTATTTTAGTATAGGAGCAATGAGTTTTATATCAAACATAAAAACAATTGAGAAAAAATTGTTAGCTATATAATTCTACTAAATGTTATATGTTATATTTTCAACTACTGATAAATATTTACGTATATATAACTTGTATGTCAAAGCTGTGAGAGTATTTGAATACATTGAAAATATGAAGATGTTAATCAACCAATCAAAACTCAATATAGTATAGAGCTCAGCTCTTGTTTTTTTTTGTACAAACAATAATTACGATAAATTTAAAGAGATCATATATAACATTACTACCATTGTAAAACCTGGGACTGATATAGGTGGTCACTGGTTTACAATGCTTTTTGTATAGACTATAGTAACTGTTTTTAGAAGAAAAAAGTTTAAACTAAATATAATTTAAGAATATATTACTGATGAGTTTTGATTGGCTTGGGAAAATGAGATGACAGGATGTATATGAGGAAAATGACTCCATCTGTAGCTAAAAACAAAAAACTCAAATGTACCTCATATTCTCGTGTGTTGGTTTGGACAAATTTTAGTATTTCCTGTTTAATTGCTACAACATTTCTCTGCATAGTTTTGGCTGCTCGCTTAGCTAAAGATACAGCTAGTAAACCACTAAATAAATAAGGCGAGTCCATGTTAGTACATAATGTTTATGTGAAATTTTTAAACCATGAAATAAACATGATATGAATGTTTTAATTTAATAAAATTTCAAATACAGTAACAACTTTAACCCGAATAATTCAGTCGTTATATTCCACTGCTATATGATGGCTACATTAACGGCTGAAGGCCTAGTCAATGAAAAATCGTCAAAAAAATCATTCGGAATTAGCTCGGGATTTACCTATTTTGATAACATTTAGCTATTAGCTGATTGGCTCTCTCTCACAGAGAGCTCCAATCAAAATCCTGGATTCGTGACGCGTTTTTATCGTATAAAGAGTTCAGGCCCTCGCGAGTGGGAGAGTCGATCACGGGGAGGGACTGAATTATACGGGTTATAACAACTTTAAATTCCATCTATTTTTCAAAGACAGTTATTTTCTCTATTTTTTACCTTTAAATGTTCGGTATTCTAAATAGAAAATATTAGAAGTCTTCTGTAGTGACAACTATAAGACTTTTTCTCTATTATTTTATAATATATAAGACTGGTAAATAAGATAATCCTTGTGCAGACTGTCCAGCCTTTTCTGTTCAAAATGGTAAGTACCCTGAAGTATGACTACATAAATCAAATTAAATCATTTAAAGAAAATATATTTAAACAAAGTAAACATTACCATGAACAGAAATTAGAAAATAATTATCCTTAAAAAGTGCTGAAGCCCTTCCAAGTACATTTGGTTGTATGCACACAGAGGTAAATAAACTCATCATATAGATACCAGGATTAAAATTTTGTATTTGCTCCAGACGCGCGTTTCGTCAACAAAAGACTCATCAGTGACGCTAGAATCAAAAAAAGTTAAAAAGGCCAAATAAAGTACGAAGTTGAAGAGCATTGAGGACCAAAAATTCCTAAAAGTTTTGCCAAATACAGCTAAGGTAATCTATTCCTGAGGTAGAAAAGCCTTAGTATTTCAAAAATTCAAAGTTTTGTAAACAGTTAATTTATAATTATGACCATATCAATGTAAAACATTGACTATAATGTACAAATACAAGAAGATGTAACACACCATCCACCACTGGTATACAATTTTTCAAATTATCACTCTCACATTAACTCTCAATTCAAAGGAACTCCTAATATGAATGCAATTTGAAAAACAAATAATCTATAAACTGTTTATGACTTTACATAATCTTGTGCTTCTAGAACACTCGTTAATATCAAGTTTTTTGGCTGAACATCACAGCATCTTATTCTGTGTTAAAATGGTCTTTTCTATGATATAAACATCATGATTCATAAGAATTATGTACATATTGTAAATACATACTTTGGTTTAGCACCACCAGCTCCAGCTGGTTCCATTGACTTAAACTTGTTCATGGCCCCCTGAGCACCAGCTGGTTGAGCTGAAATATACAGTTATGGCAATTTTTATAAAGTGTTACATTTCCTTCTACTCAGAAGAAAAATTATGTCCTATTTTTTTGGGGGTCAATCTTTTAAAAAAACACACAAAATGGCAATGATATTGCCCTTGAAAGTATAAATATAACCATATCCTTATAATAAAATTTTCTTTTTGCTGTTTTTTCCACATAAAAAAAAGAATGAAAATTTACACAACATGATTATCATCAACAATCTGAAAACGAAAAGAATATAACAAAAAATATTTACAGATGATTAGAGAACATGAATGAGTAAATAATGTGTTCATGAAATAAATAAAATAATGATTGATTGATAGATGACAATGTTAAGAGTATAATATATATCATAAATACAAAATGCCTGAAAGTCTGAAGTTAGATATGATAATATTGATGAGAAGATAATAGATTTGTTTAAAATATTTACAACTAAACCTTGGTGCTTTAACTGTGGGAATAAAGGGGAACTAATATACAAAAATTTTACCCTACCCCTAACCCTAACACAATCACATTTTTCTTAACATATTTCATATATAATACAATGTTGGTAGCAGGTTATTAGGGGATATGCCAAATTTTTTATTTCAAAAATGTCAATTTTGTGACCTTTACATTTGTGTTAACAAACAAAAGCAACAATATGAACTTAGGGGCATTTGGAATCAAAACACACAGCAAATTAACCAAGGTCTGTTTGTTTCCGTTGAAAAATAAAATATTTGTTACAATTATATAATATCTACATATTAATACAACATCCATATACAGTTAGTAAACCATACAAAAGTTACCGATATACTACAACATGCTACACACAAATATACAAACACATGCATATTACAATATATTTGAAATAATATTAGTCAGTAAGGATATATAATAAATCAGAAATAAATGGGCAGAAATCAGATTGATTATGGATATGACTTGGACAAATTTTTTTAAGTGTAGAATTAAGGGTTGCATGTTGTCATGGTAAAATTTTATTACATAAAAAATTAATAAATGAAAAATGAGTTTTTCAATTTCAGGTCAAATTCCTCTTCATTTAAAACAATTGAAATTTCTAATAAGAGTAAATGCATCATTTAAAACAATTGTTCAAATTTTTATTTAAAATGAGTTTTCAAAACCCAGGACAAATTCTCCTTAAAATAAAGGCTTAAAGCATAAACAACTGAATATTCTTAGAGTTTAATCATTTAAAATAATTAACTGTTCAAATTTTAAATGCTAAAATACATGAAAGAATATTTATGTAAGACCTATGAAACCCACTTTAACACTACCAAGGGAGACAATACAGGAGACTTAAGGTTAGTTCAGGAAATGTTAAAATCTAGATAAGCTACATAAAGCTGGAAAGAAAAAAAAAGAAAAATGGCTACCTCCCCAACTCTCGGTTTTCTCTGATTTATTTGTAACACCATCTTGACTGTTCCAGGTTTCCGTTCGTACAGTTATTTTACCTCCAATGACTGGAGTGCCAGTATTTATTAGCTTGTCGCTCAAAAATTTGGCTGCTTGCTCTACAATTTGGGTAAAAGGAATGGGTAACATATCAGTGCATTCAACGTCATAATAAACAATGCAGAACAAACTTTATAACAAAATAAAGTGTTTATAACATGCATCTACAGAGATCTAATTTGATTTTACAGGTTATTGCAATGGAGTTCTAGAACAAAACTCATGCAGTGTGTTTATCTTAATATTGATGAAGCTGAAAATTTTTCAATAACTACATGTTTTTTTTAATTCACACACCAAGAACCATTTCTGTCTTACATCACTTCAAACATATGTCAATAAATCCTCAATCTGATTAAAATACAGATCCGGCATCCACACTTCACTCACAAGGACCTGACAGTGCTCTGTTCTACTTTCTGTTTTAAAGACCTTCAGGTATCCTCTGGTTTTATCGTAATGATACACTTCTTCAAAAATGTGAAAGCTGAAATTTCATTGGCTGATGTTATTATTACAAGAAAGAAGTAAAACAGTGTTTTCAGCTCCTTTTAAGCAAAGTGTGGATCTGTATTTTAATTAGATTGACAAATTATCCTCTAAGTAAACATGAAAACAATATCACTTTGTATAAAAATATATTTTTTTCAAAAATGACTATGTTTTACTGTATACATAACTGGGGAGGATTGTGATAACTTAATGATAACATATGCAACATCTGAAGTGAAGTTAGTGATGAAATACAAATGTTGTAAACACTTTTTAATCAAACATACATGTACCCATTACATTGTTAATTTAACAACAACACTATATATCAAATGCAGTTAATCATTTTGATGACAATGAAAAATGATATTTTGATGAAAAATCTAAACAAAAGAAAAATTGCAATGACAATGTGATATAAAGGAAAGAAACAACATCCTTATAGTATAACAAAAATTTAATGATAAACAAGAAGTTGCATGTTTTGTCCTGCTAAGCATACCCTCAACTGGTAATTTTAAACAAGAAGGAGTGGTCTGACAGATCTGAAAAGCCCTCACATGTTACAACTCATTGCTGTCAACCTGCTGACCAAAAATTCAGTCATTCTCTTTTGTAGCATTGGAGAAATATGAGTGAAATATAATAATTTCATAGTAATGGCAAACAGGAAGCAGGTGTCTGACAGATCAGAAAAGTGCACACACTTTACAACTCATTGCTGTCAAGCTGTTGACCAAATATGAAGTCATTCCGTTTGAAAGAAACATGATGAAAGTGAGACAGAAAATTTTTTGATGAATAGATGGACCAACAGCCAGTTGACACCACGATGAATGCTTGCCCCCATTTCTAGACTTGGTGTATAAAATGACTAAATATACTCTTAAAAGTGTTCTTTTTCATTCAGGTTCTTTACATAATGATAAAATCCAAGTATGACATGATGAAAAGTTGTAACTACATGTACTGCAATCAGTCAATCAAAAGGTAACCTAAATATAACCTTGAGAAAATTTAAGTTCAGCTGGATAAAAGAAAGATTTTTTGGGAGCATAAATTTTGGGAATTTACTTATATCACATCCCAAAAAACTCATGACAGCTTGTACCTCATAAGTAGCAATAGCTCTGAGAAAAAAGTGACAACTAGCAATGGTCTAATGACTTGAGGTTGACTCGATATGTGCAAATTTGATAAATATAAAACACTTTATAAAGGAGGATTAAAACATACAAAATATTTCAATTTTTCACATAACCAATTATACAATGCAGACATTCAACATTTTGAAAATATCAAAAAATAAGTGTAACATAAATATAAAATAAATTATTCCATAAACAATAGAAATGCAAGTGTCTCACCTGGTGTTTTCGTGAAGGATTGCCCACCAAATCCTGCTTGTGATGATACAGTGCCAGCTAAACGAAGAAGCAAAAGGCAAGATGAGAAGCAGAAAATCTACCATTTCAGATATGGGTTTTTGCATTCTCCTTAATTGCACCAAATTGTATTAGATCATATGAGAGATTTTCATAAAGGTATTATTATCATAAAACTTTATCTGCTTTAATTTTGATTTATGATCACAATACCTATATTGGTAATTATGTTTGAAATCAGTCCAAATGTATCGCTTCTTTTCTATTTAGCATTTTGTGTGACCAAATGTTATTTGTGTCAGATTTCTTCTTTATATGATTTATTAAAACATTTCTTCTCTCTCCAAATAATTTTTTTTTCAATGGTATTTTGCATCAAACATAAGTTTTTATATGACCTATTTTTAGCAACTTTGACCAATCAAAAGTCAAAGAATATTTGGTGCAGAGAAGTAGAATAAATGTGCACCCATCATTTATCTCTTTCTAAAATGGCCAATTGTTTAGAAAGTGAGTGAAAGCATCTATTAAAGCTAGCAATTCACACTTCTCATAGAGAAAGTAAGAGAAATAAGATTTCTACATAGTTTGAAATTGCATTTAATCTTATATGAAGTAAACATTAAAGAAATATTAAACAGATTCCCATTTATATAAAATTGGAAAGTACAGAATAGATTAATGATATTCTATTGAATTTTTCTTTTTAAATTAACATATCAATCATGCATATGAAAAATAATGAATTTTAATCAAATTAAAGTAACAGCAAATATTTAATAGTAACGAATCATTCCTCCATTATGTATTCAGACTGGCAATAACAGCTTACAGCCAGATTGATAATTCCACAAGTTTAAGCCAGACAGACTGCTTTATTTGCAATTTTTTTTAACTTGGTATCATGGCCATAATCAATTTATCAGCCCAAAATATATTAACTGCTCTTATAAATGGCACTGGTCAGAATGTACTGTTGAAAAATAACATTTGTAATGGCATTGCCTCTCAGCAAAGCAGAGCTAACATGGTACTAAAGAGTATTATTTAAATTAGCAGCTTTATCAGCTTAAGCATCTCTTGATTTTGCAGCATTATCAGCTGAAGCCACAACTGAATTAATAAGTTAACGTTTTGGCACAAAAAGGCACTGAGTCTTATTGTTCTTATAATTGAATGCTGAAAACACATTTTGTATATTGTTATTGGTTAAATTTCTTGTTCTCTGTTTATTTTTAGAATGCTTCTTATACATCAGAAAAGATTTAAGAAATTGTAAAAGAATTAACAAAAGAAGAATAGAAAGCTGATTTCCATTTTGTTCCCATCACACTGTGAAATGGAAATCACCTTAAGTATATGTGCCACTCAGAAAGCAAGGTGCAAATAGAAATGTTTGAAATAACAGTGAGTTAAGATGTAAAGCAACACACTAGCATAAACCCTTCATAAATTTTGATCCAACTTGATATTACCTCTACTATTTGAGACTTAAATCAAGCTTGACAATTGTCAAATTGAGTTATTTGCAGCACTATAATAGCATCATCCCAATACTGGAACATGTTAAGTTGTCACATTGACCTACCTGATCCTTTATTAGCAATTCTATCAAATGCTGCCAGCTGTCGTTTTTTAGCTTCTTCAGACTCTTTTAAATGTTCTTTTATTATATCATCTTTAATATTCATAATTTTTTCTCTTTCTTCTTTTGTTTCCTTTGCTGCTTTCTCAAATGCTGCTACCTGCCGTTTCTGATCTGCCTCGGCAGCAGCAAACTTCCTTTTAAATATATCCTCTGTTTCTTTTTCTCGTTGTAACCTCTTGACCTCCATTTCCTCTGTAAAGCAAATATAGCAATTTGAGATATATTAAAAGTTTTGCATTTGAAAATCATAGTATAGGAATGATAATTATAAATCTCACTGTTAACACAATAATCTATTCATATCTTACTGTTAACACAATAATCGATTCATATCTTACTGTTAACACAATGATTGATTCATATCTTACTGTTAACACAATGATCGATTCATACCTTACTTTTAACACAATAATGTATTCATATCTTACTTTTAACACAATAATCTATTTATATCTTACTGTTAACACAATAATCGATTCATATCTTACTGTTTACACAATGATTGATTCATATCTTACTGTTACCACAATGATCGATTCATAGCTTACTGTTAACACAATAATCTATTCATATCTTGTTGTTAACACAATAATCTATTCATATCATACTGTTAACACAATAATCTATTCATTTCTTACTGTTAACACAATAAACTATTCATTTCTTACTGTTAACACAATAATCTATTCATATCTTACTGTTAACACAATAATGTATTCATATCTTACTGTTACCACAATAATCTATTCATATCTTACTGATAACACAATTATCTATTTATACGTATGTTGACCAATTCTGTTGCGAGTGGTCAATTCTATCCAATTTTTCTCTCTTCAAATTAATAGATAAAAAAAATTCTAGCTGTTAAATGCAAAAAATAGAAAACATGAGTTTCAGGTTCAGAATATTCTTAATAGTGCAGTGCTTAAAATGCCCTTACTGAAAATGGACCTATCCTGAATTTTTTTTTATCTTACTTGATTTTTTCTCTCGTATTTCTCTCATCCTGTTTCGTATCTTTTTTCTCTCATCAAAATCATCTGTTTTACTGAGCTGTAAAAGATAGATCATACAATATGATAATAAAGTATAAGCAAGCATACCAAATATATATGTAATACCTTTAATTCATTCAAATCCTTCTTGTTATCTTATGCCAATGTGTGGACTTCAGATTTAGTGTTACATGCTTTTTCATTTACCTAATATTTTCCCTAATCATATACAGTCAAGCCTGCTATAAGGGACATCTCTATTGAGAAAAAACTGTCCGTCCAGGTCGTCCTCTTCTTGTCCATCTGTGGTAATGCTTATGCATTTTGAATTCAAGTTCAAAGGTCACCTCTCTTATAAAGTCAGTTTTCTCTTGTCCAGAGGGTGACCTTTATATACAGGTTTTACTATATATATTATTTCTTCAGTCTTTCTGTTTTCTATCTTTTGCCAACATATGTATCCCCAATTATAATGAAATGCTTATTATTCGCCAACAAATACAAACTGCATGTGTATCAATAATTACATTGACTTTTTCAACCTCTTCTGTTTTGTTATTTATCTTGATGTCAATGAATGGATCTCAGCTAATTAATATTGACAAAAGAAATTAACAATATGGCAAAAGAATTTCCAAAATGTTTATTTCTTTAGAGTTAACGACTTAATTCCAAGAAAAATAATCATTGCATATAAATTGTTCCAGGCCCCATATTACATGCATGAATAAAAGGAGGTGTAGGGTGTACCTCAACAAGACAGTAACCCAACAAAAAAGGATGTTATCTGGATTTGGGTTGATTTATAAAGCTATTGGAGTTTTCTCTGATAGGCTTTGTAAGAGGAATGTACTGCTTCATAGACTGAATATTTACAGAAAGTGTAGAACTTGTCTGTGCTCATAAGATAAAAAACAAAATTACTATTAAATTCAATTAAAAATAGTTTCTTTAGGTATCGTGTTGTGGAATATCTGTAAGTCATGGTGCTCAACATTTGCTGACTAGTAATTTATATCTCTGTTCATTAGAAATATGACAAATTGCTTCATTTAATTGAAGTGGATGGACAAATTGTTAAGATAAATAACTGGCACATTCTTGTATTAATTTGATGTATTATTGTGTAATATGTAATTGTGTGCAACATTTGCATACATAATCATACTAGTTATTTGTACCTAAAGCCAACAAAACCAGTACCTGACAAAATAATTTTGGCAAAAACTTTGATTCTGCGCATCTGCTATTCTCATTCAAACATTGTATCTGTATCAAAATCACAATGTGGAAAAGAGTGAGACATTCTTAGCAATCCAGAATATGTTAACATTATTTTTGAATAATGATTAAAATATTTCTGAATTCATAAGCTAAGAATACAGTAATCTGTTTTTAAAGTTTTTACCAATTAGCAAATTTTTAGCTGAAAAGGGAGACTGACGGACTATGTGACAAAAAATGATCTTTGCTTTATCATAAAGCTCCACATAATGAGCTAAAGAGAAGGGTGACCTCTAGGTCTATCCTATTATAGATCAGAGGTCAAAGGTTTAGGTCAATACCTTGTCACAAAAAAAAAAGTTTCATGAAAGGAGTCTAATGCAAGAATCAAGGTTAAGGTCAAAGACTATTTATCAAAATACAAATTAAAAGACATGGACTGTAGGAAAATTATATCAAATCTTAAAATTGTTTAAGAAATTATAATTCCTAGATCGTGTTTGTTTGCAATAAAGTACACACAAAAAATTTCTCAGTAGGAGGAAGGTTGATAGAGAAGTATTTTTATGTTACATTGGTATGTAAAATAATATTTAGATCATTCAAATATACATTTACCAACAAAATTATTTTCTGTCAGCAGTTGTCCATGGCACTTATAGCAGTGGTTATTTTTTCTTTTTTGTCTTGTAGGTGGATAGGGGGTTTACAATGTGCTCAATTCAGTACACTTGCACTGATGGTATGACATTCCATGGTCTTATATGAGGAACAAGTCAGACATGATGTCTGTTAAATGGGAGTACCTGGAAATAAACATAGTTTATTCAATTTGAGAAAACTCAACACTTTAGTCAAGATATTCTCAAATATGGAAAGGTTTTACAGAGGAAAATTCAAACTACTTCAATAATTCAATTTTCCTTTCAAAAGTGCAAAGACAGAAAATAATGGAATTCAAGAAATTTGTACTTCAGCTTCATCACAGTAAATGTTGGCAATGAATAACTCATCTAATTAACACTTGTGTAATTATCGGGGATTATAATTACATTGTAGTTGTAATAGCCATTAAGAAAATATTAAATTACAGACATAATTCTTGAGAGATATAACACTTGTCTTCCCAACACATTGATATGTTGAAGACTTTGTGTATATGCCAAGTATTAATGTCTGAACCATCTTCAGCATTGGTATCTTGACAGAATATCTTGCAAGAATTATGAATTCAACATATATTTGGACATTTAGCTAATGATTTAAGGACCACACCTAATTTAATTTGTGCAAATAATCTAGATTTTTTTTTATATTCAGCTTCCTGTATTGTATGTTTTCATAGAAGAGGTCTAGCTGATTCAGTTTAGACTCTGGTTTGTGCAGCATGTTACCTATTGTTTTTATTTCCCCTGTTAATAATTTCATTGTCCATGACCCTCTCTGTGACCTCTGAACCCCTTACTTGTGAAACAGTACCCTTAGTAATAGGCCTATCACACAGCAGTTTTTGAAAATTTCTGTCCTTTAACATGCATGCCTTTTTTCTGATCACCCTAAGGTCATTTTGATCAGACTGGGTTTTGGTTGGAACAAAAATGCTTTGGAGTACTTATTTGTAAACAGACCATGTATCCAATAAAATTTTATCTGGCCTCATAGCATGATCATAGCATGAGACCACTTGTGATTTTCTTGGTCAAGAAAGAAGATCTATATATAAGCTTTTTCATACATGATTTTTAAAATGACTTGGTCAGTCCTGATAAAACTTTTGAACTACTACTACTAAAGCTCTATTAAGAAAGGATAGTAATGTTCACTTCTTGCTCAAAATAGAAACAATTTCACATCATAATACATAAAATTTGTATCAATAATTAAGTATTCGCAGCTATGATCCTATCACATGCTGATTTTAATCACAACATGAAAGTAACGGCATTAAGCTGATATATCTAACATTATAAGCAATGATACTGAGAAAACTTATGCCTAAATGATCAGAAAAATAAACTTGTATTTGTTGGCTTGGCTTCAAACATAATTAGAAAACCATAGGATCACAGATTCCTACAGAATAATTGCAGAAACAGTTGATTATATTGTAGGTATCAAGTGAAGTAAACAAAAACATTGGGGTACCAGTAATAACCTTGAGTTTATCAATGACATTGAGGCTGTCATTGAGGTAAGCCACATCGAAGGAATTAGCAACACAGAGTAAATTTCAAAACAGATAGCTCTATATGGACTGAGAAACATGAAGATGACCAAACATCAGGATGATAATGCCAGTGGGACAGCAACCCAAAAGTAAATATCTCTCCTTCAAAGGAGATAGCCTAAGAAACAATTCAGGAATAAATTGCTTGCCGATCGCAGCTGGATACGACCGCAGCTGGATACAACCGCAGAGGTCCAACACCGAACAGTTGGGGCAAACATGGACGCAATATTCACGCTTGATACAGGTTTGAATTTGGATTGTAATTAAATATTTGACACATAAAAGGTTTCTGACACAGAATAACTGTAGTCAAAGAACTTAGAATTGGTTATATGATTTGAATTTATATTCAATTTTTTGCTTTTGTGCAATACACTTTGCTGTTTTTGTGCAATACACTTTGCTGTTGCGAATTGACCCCACCCCCCCCTCCCCCCACAAAAAAAAAAAAAAAATTACCCCCCCCCCCCCCTTTTTTTTTTTGCTTTTGTGCAATACACTATGCTGTTGTGTATTAACACCCCCCCACACACACACACACTTTTTTTTGGCCAAAAAAATAATATTTGAAGAATTTTTCTTTTTTTTTAATTTCTGAAATCTGAAATGAGAAAAAATTTACCCCCACAATTTCAAAAATTCTTTCCCTCAAGATATGGTCATAATCTCAATTCAAATTTCCAATTGAGTTTGCAACCATAATTACCCATTTAAATTTACCATACTGCTAACTTAATCTATTTTATAATAGAATTTAAAATATGGTGTCAAATCTTTCATATGGATTTTTTTGTAAAAAAAAAAAGATGCAACATTTTCAGATACTTTTACTAGTCTTCCTTTATAAATATGCATTTCTTTAAACATAATTTAAAAGCAGTGAAAGGGAGGTAATCAAAATGTTGTATTTGGATTACCTCCCTTACACTGCTTTTAAATTGTCTTAATTGTTCATTAACCATTACTTTATACATAATTTAAAAGCAGTGTAAGGGAGGTAATTCAAATGATGTATTTGAATTACCTCCCTTACACTGCTTTAAATTATGTTTTGTACTAAAGTATTTGTCCATTAACCAGGACACCCTTGTTTTTCCCCCTTTTTCGCCCCCAATTCCTTAATGGTTTGAGCCATAACCCCCCAAAGCAAATCCTAACCATCCCTTTGTGGTATGGAAACTTGTGGTATAATTTCAGAGAGATCCATACACCGTTCCACAAATTATTGTCTGGAAACTAGAAAAATGCTTATTTTTGGCCCCTAATTCCTTAACTGTTGGTACCATAACCCCCAAAATCAATCCCAGCCTTCCTTTTGTGGTATTGAACCTTATGGTAAAATTTCATAGAGATCCATTCACTTAAAGTAAGTTATTGTGCGAAAACCAATGTGTCTTCGGACAACGAAGACGACGCCAACGTCATACCAATATACGACAAAAAATTTTGCGGTCGTATAAAAATGACCAAACAGCGTATTGTCCTAAAAACAAATTCAAATATATAAATAGAGACATCAGAAGAAAATATCAACTCACTGACCACTGCAATATAGCACCTAGACAATTGGTATGGTTTTGAAAAGGACAGAACCCAAATTAATAGGTGCACTTAGCACTGCCACTACCATCAAACTTATATAGATACATATCATAATCCATGCTCATAACATTTGTTGTGCATCTAGTATAAAACCACAACTACTGTTAATTCACACAATTTTGAATGTCAAGTATTGCTATTGTTGAACAATGGACAAAACAAGAATGTGTCCATAGTACACAGATGCCCCACTCACACTATCATTTTCTATGTTCAGTGGACTGTGAAATTGGGGTCAAAACTCTAATTTGGCATTAAAATTAGAAAGATCATATCATAGGGAACATGTGTACTAAGTTTCAAGTTGATTGGACTTCAACTTCAGCAAAAACTACCTTGACCAAAAACTTAAACCTGAAGCGGGACAGACGGACGAAGGAACGGACGCACATACCGAAAAACATAATGCCCCTAGGTGGGGCATATAAAAATGAGTCTATCTATAGCCATTTCAGGAAATGATGCAAACACTTAATCCTATCAAAGTGCGATATGCCAGTATTTCATTTCTAATTGCAATTTTCCCCAATAATAAAAACACTGCAAAATTTCTGAATATACAGTACTCAAGCACCAATGAATTTTGTGCAGAAAGCAGAGAAACAAAGGTAAAAACAATATATGACTGTGGGTGTAACAAAACATGTTTATGCCACAAACAATCTACAATTAGCTCATAATTAGCAGATCAATCACCTGCTTATAAATTATTTGAAGAGCATGGTAACATTAGGATAAAGCAAGTGTACTGTTATGCTGGTGACATCAGTTATGTAGGAGGTATGATGGATCTGTAAGTCTTTTGGCAGAGAACCAGGTCAAAGGCACCTACATTGTATCAAAGGTTATAGAAAATTGCAAATGTTTCAGCATATTAGATTGAATACATAATTTCTGTAATTTTTTACTTTGGCAAGAAGTTTGGTAGCTACATGGTAAAGCATTGAAACATGATGCTGTCACTGTAGTTTTTCTACCCTGATTAGAATATTTCTGCAGTAAATGCTGTAAAATCACCTGTTGTGAATATCCATTGATCTTGAAGAGTGCTAGTTTAATTTGTGAGAGCAAGACCAAAAATAGCATATCAGTTGAAAGCAGATTTTATAACATTGTCTGATTTTGTGGCCTTTATACATATAGCATTCATAAATATTGATAAGCACAGATTGTTTGTGTATAGGGAAACTTACTATTTTGTGGAGTTCATCCTCATCGTCTATGTTGTCATAGGTAGGCATGGTCCTTGTTTTTTGGTCTCCTTCTTTATTTGAAAATCTGTTTGAGGTGGATTTTTCACCCTGAAATCAGAAAACCAAACTAATAAAAAATTCTTACATGCAACACATGATGGAGGTTAGGGTAGCTGTCTCATGTTGAATATTGGAGTACTGAAATATTCCTCTCTCCGAAGAAATATGCATTTTGAATATTTTGAAATTTTTTATATTTAACCCTTTTAGCAAGAATTTCAATGAGAAGATAACCTGATGCAGAACTCACTACAAAACAATCGATCTTCCAAATATTTCAAATCTGAATGCAAAATGTAACCTTAAGTTATGAAGATCCTGATTGTCATGTCTAAATGATAAAAAATCTGTACCTCTAGCATGCATGATGCCTTGTACAGGCCTTTACACTCCCCTTCAAACCCGATTATAATTTACCTGTATGCTGTAAGGTACCTTCCTCTGGAATGACAAATTCTAGAAATTCTCCTTTCAAATGGAATGTTATAAAACTGCTACAAAATCTAGATATCCCTGACACTAACATATAATATTGAGTCACTTTTTTACTAATAATCAACTAATTATTGTTATTTAATTACTGTCTTTCTAGACAAGAGCATGGAATGAAGATTTTGGTAGATTCCTGTATTACCGATAAGTTACCGTGGCAACAATCAAGTGTTAATGTAATGCATTACTCTTCTCAATCTCTCCAAAACGTTTGTTTTTATTCTCACTTTTGGCACTGTGTCGATAAGTAGCTTCCTTAAAATCAAGTTTGGCAAATGTCAACAGTTGTCTTCTGTGTTTTGTGCATGTTAAATAAACTGTTTAAAACAAGGTTTAATTAGTTTAAAACAGCTTGAGCCTACTTAATCAATGTACAAGATTAGTACATAGTACAAAGTTTAGGTCTGGGATTGCAATTTTCCTAGAAAGTCTGTTAAATTGGTGAAAATTATATATGATTACCGGTAGTGCCAAATTTGTATAAATAATTCTTGAGGACTGCTGAATTCCCCTGTAGATTCCAGACACTGAAATTTCAGCAGGTTAATCAAACTTTCTTATATATTTTTATTTCAAAACAAAATAATGACATTTGATGGCTGGGGAAATCTACATTGCTCATGAAAATATGGTAAATTTTACCAAATATTCAATGTTTTCCTAATATACCATTATCAATTTATCATTTGATATCGTTTATAAAATTATGGTTGCTTAATGCCCATTTGTTCAATTTTAAAGAAGAAAATGTATGCGGTTCATAAGTGTTTCTCGTTTCTCATTTTTTATATAGATTAGACCGTTGGTTTTCCCGTTTGAATGGTTTTACACTAGTAATTTTTGGGGTCCTTTATAGCTTACTGTTCGGTGTGAGCCAAGGCTCCGTGTTGAAGACCGTACTTTGACCTATAATGGTTTACTTTTATAAATTTTGACATGGATGGAGATTTGTCTCATTGGCACTCATACCACATCTTCTTATATCTATATACAGTAGAAACATGTTTGCTGTAATTTGTCTTTTTTTAGCATAATGTAGATGTATGCATCTTTAAATTATCATCTTCATCAGACAAAAATTTCTTTTTAACAAAGGGCAGATAATTCAGGTTTTTTTTACATAGCACAGTCTCAGTGTCCTTGAAAATGCGATGATTAGACCAATCAGACTATCTAACAAAGAAATATTCCCATAATGCAAAGCCAATTTCTCAATGGGTACATTTCATTTCAATGTCATTAAGAAATGTTTGACAAAATATGAAATGCTTAAACCATAATTCTAGTGGAACTTAATTATTTCACTGAGCAATACTGATTTCAATACTAATCAAATAGGATAGAATTCAAATTAAACTTACAAGTTACCAGAAATTTGGTTAATTTATGCATAGTTTTAATCATAAAGTGATAAGAGTTTGAGACAAAGTGTTGTCAGAGATACTACTATAAATCAACATTTCAACACCGATATATCAGTGCATCATTTAAACCTTACATGTTTTTCAAAAGATGAGTAATTTAGTTAAATTCTATTAAAAATTTGGCCATGCTTACAAATTTTTAGACATATTACTCATTTACTAGTTGATTATAATTGATCGAACTAATTTAAGTGTTGCTATTTTCATACGTTTACACTCAAAGTAACAACAAGATGAACTAAGTATAATAATCTGCTTATCATGAATTTTGAGTAATAAATTTAATTTTTACACAGATATATAGCAAGTATATCAGAGCTGTTGGTTTATCTATTGAGATAAACACAGTTGTAACAACAATTTATCTATCAGTACATATGGCTCCTAACAGAATACTTCTGGCATTAGTTATCTGACCACAGGTATTCCTGTTCTTTGTAAACAGGTAAATTAAGCCTAAGCAGACGTGAAATATGCATATCTTAGAGTCTGAAGGGAATAATGTTTGTTATTTATGATATGTAATGTTTACTTCTAGTTTTCTATTCATGATTAATTACAGTCATTAGACTCATATCAGTAAATATAATACATGAGTAAATAAATTACATTCATCAAGAAAAAAAATGTTTTGAATTTACAGTGAAAAATTGATACTGAATGGTTGAAGAAGGATTGGGCTGATTTATATTATACAAATATTAAATAAATCTGTATTAAATTGGCGGAAAATCCAGGGGAACTTTCATGAAGGACTGTTGCAAAAATTGTGCAAAGATCATGGGATGAACTAGCTAAAATCAAATATGAATTTGCCCCTTATCTTTTTCATTGAATATGCTAAGTTGCTCTATTCTCTTAAAAGTCAAATAAATGTATTGACGTAATTACTATTTGCCCACAAGGCAATATTAGTGTACAAAGGCGTTAAGTAAACAATAGGCAACGCAATTGACTTTAGTTACATAGTTAACGAATAGCAGCAAATCCTTGACAAGCACAATGAGGATAAAAGCTTGTATTCTTTTGTATCAATTGAAACTTATCCATCTAAGACTTATCTCATTGGTCAAACACATTTTAATTTTAAGACAATAAGCAAGGTTACCAGAACAAAATTGACAAGCTATTTACAGCTGTCAGTCAATGCTTTACACCCTCCTGGGATAATGATCTGGCCACAAGACCTAATTACTCTATAATGGAGGTCCAGATGTTACAGATATAAACATTGACATAACCTAGAATGACCCAGATCATATGACCTTAGATGGCACCTGCAAGAACTCAAAGGTTGAAGACTTCTGTAACATGAAGAAGCTATGTTTTTAATGCCTATTCTGTATTTGTTTATTTTTGTAACATAATTTAGGAAAATTGTATTCATATGAAAAATGGGAATAATCATAAACCATAATTCAACAAAAATAAACAAACCTATGATGGCCAAAAGAAAAATGATGAAAAGACAAACAACAGTTACTGTCCACAAACACTACACTGAAAATCTAATATTGAACAACATTAACCTCACAAAAACCTTGGGTGCACTAGTTCTCCTCTGGGATGGTAAGTGGTTTCTACTCCAATAGTGACATCATTTTAATGTTGCGCCACTCCATAAAGTACCTCATCTAATGGGGAACATAATGACCAAGATGAAGATAAAATCTCAATGAAATGACAGTTTCTCTTTCACTAACACTTTTTTCTAGATGGTAATTGGTATTGTCTTGGAATTCAACCTTGTCACCAATTTTGCAATTACAACAAAACTCTAATACATGAGAAGTTGATCCTAAAGATGACTGCATGCCCAGAAGTAATTACTTTTAATTGAATCTTCAAAATTTATTATCTACTTGTTTATATTGATATTTTGACGCCACATACCTCTTCAAACCTGCTCCTCAAGTACGATAGTTTACGGAATGGCGATCTGCCTGACAATGCAGCCATGATTATATAGTCTCTTATTAATCACAATGTATAAAAGTCTGTCTATATTTTCACAAAGAAAATAGTCTTTGTTTTTATAACCTTTCTAATTCTGATCCATCATATCTTTCTCTCTCTCAAATTTGATTTTTCTTCTTGGAAAGAAATCCTCTTAAATGCATTAATTTCACAACCACAACTATTTTCTAGATTGGAAAACTTTACCAAACTCCTTTGCAGTTAAAATGAAAGTAGACATCCAAAGAAGCACTCTTTTCTATAAAACTGTAAAACATAAACCCACAACAAAGGCTTTTTTCCCAATGTACCATGAATGTTTATCTTACAGAATCCAGAAAAAAAATGGCATTAGGATTACACTATCTCTCCACGGGAACCGTGAACTTCAAATTTTCAAAATCTCAGATCTTTTGAGGTTTTATAAGATAAGACTCATGACTAATGTGCACTTTTTATATAAGATTCTGATCATCCAGAAGCCTATATCAAATCTGGTAAATTTGAAGGTTAATCGGAATAAATTGACTATGCATTGATGGGAGACAAGGCCTGGTCAATCTTATATATACTTGTTTAGGTTCATTTTTAAAAGGCAATTGTCTATAACATGACTTTGTTGATCCAGAACATTACGTATTTTGCACAATTTGTGTACTTAGCTTTCGAAAATCTTTTGAATGTAGTGATATAGTAAATATGTGATTATTTTTGTAAATAGAAGATTGGGATCTCTAAAGATGTTAAACATACAAATAAAATCGTGAAGAACATAATTAAATTGTAATAAACAATCTCCCAGAAAACATCAATATGTAATAAAAAAGGTATCAAAGATGCTCCAAGTAATCACAGTTAATGCAACGAAGCTTTATTCCTCAGATATACAACTGTTTACTAATAAAAGCAAAATCAAAGAAAACTCCTTCCAACTAAGTCCTCAAACTGTCAACATCAAAGTCTATTTAAAAGTATACCTGAGTTTGGTAAGACAATGACCTTTTTAATACCTGCCAATAAATTTTTATTGAAAATTTCTTTTTATAAGTCGCAAAAAAAATGATAGTGTATCATCTTTTCACAAACCTTCACACACAAGATATCATAATCAAGAAATTGAACCAATAAAATATTTATTTTAGCTTAAAGAAAATAATCATGCATTTTTAAAAGTGC